TCTCTCTCTCTCTCTCTCTCTCTCTCTCTCTCTCTCTCTCCCTCTCTCTCTCTCTCTCTCTCTCTCTCTCTTGCCCTCTCACTTTTATCTGTTACTCATTCCCTCCATCACTCCATCACTCGTTCGCCTCTATACTCATAATATGGAATGCATTGACTTTCACTGCTAAAGAAGATTTTATAAATTTTAAGTGCGAAACCACTAAGTTTGTATTATTTTTGGTTAAAAATATGTTCCTGTTGCTCCTTCGGCTTTTTTTTTTTTTAGATTATAAACTAACAATTTTATACACATATAAAAGGGTACGTTGTGTCGGTACACACCATCCTCTACCTTTAGAATTCTCTTGTCACACTATCCTTTAAGAAAACTAACTCAATATTTTAAAAACAATATCTAATAATAAATAAATTAGATAGTTTTAGTGGATAAGATTTGGGATCTTTTTTTAAAATGCTACCATTGTCTCTGTTGGGCGCCTCCAAAAAAACAGGATGACACTTGCAAAAGGTTGATAAAGTGCAGTATTCTACCTACGTCAAACTTGCACAGACTGAAGTATCTTTAGGCCATTCCCAAAGGGGAGACATTTCTCGTTAAATGGACATTAAGATTGTAAATGGGCTGATCTAACAATGTCATGCTCATAACTACAACAGGGAACTCCGAACTGCTGCTTTTTCTTTCCTTATCCTTACTATCGTCATTTTCCTCTACTTCTTTTGTATGTTTGTCACACTCTTGTGACCCGCTATTTCCGGGGTGCCTTGATAGTCGAAGCAGACTTTGTGCTGCTGAAGCTAGAGAGGTGAGCAGAGTAAGTCTGATTCCCTGTAAGGACTTCTTTGTTGACATCCACCCCTTGGCGCTCATATGACCTTATGCAGTTGTGAGCGCCGTAAAACCTCTACTAAAAAAACAAAAAGCTTGCACAGTCAGCATACAAAGTACACCCTGCTGTTTCTTCATTTTTTGTTTATTATTTGATATTCAAGTTTACTATGACAGTGACCTGATACATATTAGATATTAGGTGGGGGGGGGGGGGTTAAAAGAAGAAAGCGAGAGAAGTAGGATAGATTGGCAGTAGGGGGTGGGATTGGTGGCGGGGGTGAGAGAAGGAGGGTGTCTCGTCAATAACTTAACCATTGCACAATGAACCTTTACAGTCGATGTCAGCCTCACAATAGGATAGTGTGAACGGTTCTAGAAACGTCTATCGACACACTACCACAAGGCCATTGTACACATGAGTGAGAGATGAATGATGGCTTTCTATTCCGATAACGTGTATCACGACACGGTGGAATCAGCCGCTCGTCAACTTCTGGGCATAATACAGAATTTTTGGTATCATCGTATAGTTTGTTTATTTGTCTTTCTTTTGGTTAAAAACTATCGAACTACGTTGAGTATAATTCATTATATTGGCGATTTAAAGAGATGGGGGTTGCCTGGTGTCAGGGGTAAATTTAGCTAAAATATGGCCGCCTAAGTTTTGAGACTTTCAAAGCTTAAGTGTCCCAGGATACTGCAAGTTTACGTCTGTATTTCTGTGATGCACGTTTTTCAGTAACAATCCAGAGATGAATGTGCTTTTAAATGTTGAACCACCCCCAACTCCCCATAAAAAAGATGAAAATTGCTCAACAGGCGTAAAAAATGTCGGTTTTCCTACGTTCCATTATATTGACAAGCGCCTGATATCACCACGATGCCCCATTCAGTTAAGTGCTCTCGCCATGGCAGATAAAGAGTAAACACACTAATTACGAGCCTGTGCTATAAACGTGGTCTTCAGGGACAGCAAGCAATCAATGCTCACGACAGGATTACCACACGATTACCGCCGCGGTGTCATAGACCTAGGAAAAAGGCTGAGTGAGAGGTTGGAAATAACCTGGGGCGGACCCGGGGTTTGGGGG